TTTTTTTCCGGCACCATCTGCCGTCTTTCAACAATAATATTAAGTTGGACGGTATGCTAGACGTGCCTGGGAATGCAGTGCAAGAAGCCGTTTCGAAATCGGCTCACATTTCAAGGACATATGCCCAAAACAGTGGATCGGGGGGAGTGGAAAAAAACAGCCAAAAAACAGCCCGACCGGGAAAACGCCTCTTCAATTTTTTTCGCGCTTCGCGCGAAAATTTATATAATACGTCCCCGCCTAGCCCTACCTATGGGCCCTGAGCCTTTTTAGAGCTGATGTGAGAAACAACAACAACTCCAAAAGTAGGGCAAATATCACGTTTGTTGAGGTATTCCTTCACGCATATGTTTTTTGTAGCCACACATCAACGTAGAATCACTCGTGTGTACACCGAGAAAACAACGAGCGCGATCGTGCCACTGCACTCCTCGCTGCAGTGGCGACGATGTCCAGACAGACTTCCTGCCAACAACTACTGCTGTAGTCTACCGCTGTAGCCGCAACAAGGTTATAATGTAGTCGACATATTTCTGGATCACCTACCTGAAATTTCGTTCTGGCTGTGCAGTTAAGCAAAGCTCTCACTAAGTTTCTGGCTCCATCCGTAATCAGGCTGGTCGACCTTGGCCAGTGAGAGAAGGACAACACAAGAACAACACACACAATGTGGGAGGAGCCTCTGTCTGTGTAGCCGAGAGGGAGTCCGCAAAATCTCTGAGGGTATAGTCGTATGGTTCTCCTTTCTCGCGTGGAGAACCCCCCGCCCAACTTCACGAAATGCACTTGCTGCGAACAACCACGAGCAGCAGAGAGAAGTACGCACCATGAACAGCGGCAGCGTAGAGTCCAATGGAGATCCTTCGGCCGACTTGTTCAAGGCCACAGCTGCGCTGATCCTTTTCTCGATAGCGTTGGTCGGAGGTCTCCTGCCTCAGCGTCTGCAAGATGTCGGCAAGAAGGTAGTGTCGTGCCTCAACATGGCTGCGGGCGGAGTCTTCTTATCTACGGCGATGGTAAGAGGCAGAGAGACAGACAGACAGACAGGCAGGCATAGTGACCACCCGTGCATAGTCAAGCCGTGCGTAATTGATTCGTGATCACCCCAAAGTGCACTCAATTAAGCAGCAGTCTGCTGGGACCTTCCAATTGTGCTGTGAGTCGACGCCGTCGGATAGCGGATGCGACGCAGGACGAGGAATGCTTGTACGGCAGTACTGCCGTGGGCCCTGCATTCTGCTGTCCATAGTGCCGGGTCGAATACTGCGTGCCAGTATAGTGCCGGTGTTTTCGGCTCGCACATGTGGTACTGATATACCATGTCGTTCCTGCACTCTGAATAGTGCCGGTGTCGGTGTATTGTGTCGGCAAACTCACTGCTGGACACATACAGCAGTACGTACATACCGATTCCAGCTACATGTAGGTAGTCTAGTTCTTGTACGCCAGACCATAAGTACACTGCTGCAGGCCTCACGTCGTGTCAACGACAGCAGCTACTCGTGCAGATGGGCGTCTCAATGTTCTGCAACCAGCTCATGCGTTTTCTCGTGCATACATGCGTGTGTGGTGTGGACCACATGGACAACATGTACACTCCACTGAGAGGAGACGGTGGTGTAGGGAGTTGCGGTTTGTGAGTCGACGCCGTCGGATACCGGATGCGTAGACAAGTTGAGACGATTGTTGACACGTCGCACCCCGCGGACGAAAGGAAGGAAAGGCAACACCAGAGAGAGCAGCAGAGCGGACGCGGCCAGCAAGAAAATACCCTGCAGCAGTAGAGTACAGACTTGCCGCCCAGAGGCGCACCAGGTCTCCGACGACAAAGGGCGAAGAAATGTTTGTACAGTAGTGCCGGTCGGATAGTGTCGGGTACCGGTATAGTGCCGTACTTGTACGCGGGTTCAGCGTGTCCCACTGGCTCTGATCTCACAGGCAAAACTCGTGCTAGAGAGGGCAGAAGGCAATATCCAGATACCGACACGCCGTCACTGCTGTTTCTGCCAGATAATCGTTGTGTGGAATCACTCCAACCTTTTTGAGACACAGGGAAGTCGGCCTGCCACGATTCATTTGTAACTTTTGCCGTGCATCGTAGAACAACAGAAATGAATAAAACCCAGCATGTTGTCAAGAGACACTGCGACGGGTTCCTGTGAAGGCAGAATATTACCACACACGACATAACGAAGGGTTTCTCCCCGATATTTTGTCGTTGACCCCGTAGATAGAGAACACTACAGGGGAGATGTCTTGTGGTCTTTGTACCTATACAATGATTTTGTGAGTGGCACCTGCTGGCATCACTGATCGAAAAATATCTATAATAGTGTTTAGGCTTGAATAGACTCCAAACAAGCCCAGTACCCAGCCGGTTTCCCTCCTTTCACTGTGAAGACTTCAACACATCCCGTTCGACTGTGGTATTTTCTCGAATGGGTGTCTTTCTGTGTTTGTATTTATAGATCCTATTACAACGGCAGTTGCAGAATTGCCAGTTCACCGTCACATTACGTCAGAGGTAGTCTGGTGCGAGGATGGGGAACGTGAAGACAAAAGTGCACACGTGCACACGCCCGGATCGCAGGGCTGGTGCGTGAAATTTACCGTAGTTGTCCTCCTCCCTGACTCTTGGCTCTAAGTTTGCGCTGCTGCGTGCTCCGGGGGTGGATTGCGGTTGGGAAGAAAACTACTTTCAGCTCCTTGGGTACAACGTTGAGGTGGCGGTTTGCCATCGGTGTCCCTTTTGCATTGGAGGTTGCGGCATAAATGCCAAACTATTCGATAATATACAAGACGCCAAGTCAAATAGAGGCCGCTGATTGGCGGACGCCGAATTAAATCTACCGGCCGTATGTATCCCGCCGCTGTTTTGTGTTGCCGGGTACATGCACACACAGCAGAAGTCGATGGGTGATCGCGCGTCTCGGTGGTAAGTGTGCGGTGTCGAATCTCGCCAAAGGCACCAAGAAGGGGGTCTGGTCGAGAAATCGTTACATGTTTTACATGTTTTGAAATATTCGGAAGCCAGTGTAGCCTCTGCACCCGGGTTTCGGGACATTGTGGGAAACACCCCGTTCGTTGAGACGCACAATCGTTCGTCGTGGAGACGCACAATCGTTCTTCAGGGATTTCACCCCGATATAATGGCAGTGGTTGCACGCAGCCAATCATCTGATAGCAGGTTTTTTTCCGGCGCTGATTGCACCATAGGGTCTACAGCAATGTTCGGCGAAGCTGTTCGTGAAAATTAGACTCCACTAGACAAGCGTTTGGCTGCTGTTGTCGTCGACTTTTCAAAAGTTGCGCTACGGCCATGTATCCTCCTCGTCCGCCCCCCCCCCCCCC